ACGGGGGAGGGGCAGAGAGAGAGGGAGACACAGAATCGGAAACAGGCTCCAGGCTCTGAGCCATCAGCCCAGAGCCTGACGCGGGGCTCGAACTCACGGACCGCGAGATCATGACCTGGCTGAAGTCAGACGCTTAACCGACTGCGCCACCCAGGCGCCCCTAATTTTTTTTCTTTATGAAACTTGATTTTGCTCTTTTAGGTCCCTGGCCTTGGCCATTCCCTGCAGATCTTAGAACTGGCTTATATTTCTCAAAAAGAAAAAGAAAAGAAAGGGAAGGGAAGGGGAGGAAAAGAAAAAAGGAAAAGGAAAAGAGAAAAGGAAAAGGAAAAGGAAAAGGAAAAGGAAAAGGAAAGGAAAGGAAAGGAAAGAAAAAAGAAAAGAAAAGAAAAAAAAAAGAAAAGAAAAAGAGAAAAGGAAAAGAGGAAAGGAAAGGAAAGGAAAAGAAAGCTTCTTGGAATTGTGATTAGAATAAAATGAATGATTAATTTGGGAAGAACTGAATCTTAACAATATTTTATCTTCTGATTCATGAATTTGGCATAGCTGTCCATTTATGTATATATGTATGTATGTATGTATGTATGTATGTCCATTGTACTTTCCAGTGTATAGATCAAGTGTGTATTTTGCTAAATTTATCCTTAATTATTACATAGGCTTTGATGTTACTATAAATGGTATTTAAAAATTTTCAATTTCTAATTATTTCTTTCTAATATTAAGAAATATAACTGTTATAAAGTGATGTTGTATTTTGCAATACTGCTAAATTTACTTACTATTTCTAAGCGCTTTACCATAGATTCAGTAGAGTTCTATACAGATGTTCATGTTGTCTGTGAATAAAAAGAGTTTCACTTTCTTATTTGTAATTGGTGATTTTGTTTCTTGCCTTTTTTTGTACTAGTTAGAATCTCCAGTACAGTGTTGAAAAGAATGGACTTGTTCCTTACCTTAGAAGGAAAGCATTCAGTGTTTATATTAAGCAAGAAACAGTATATCTTACCCAAACTCTTCTAGTAAGAAGGAATATTTTGCAATTTCTATTAGGACACCAGCATCACTATGATACAAAAATCTGACAAGAAACATTCAAGAAAGGAAAACCATAGCCCAATATTCCTCATAAATATAGATGTAAAAATCCAAAGCAAAACATTAGCAAATCAAATTCAGCAATATACAAAAACAATAAAACATTACAACAAAGTTAGATTTATTTCAGGAATGCAAAATTAAATTAATAATTGAAATCAATCAATGTAATTCACCATGTTAACAGAATAAATGAGAAAAGCCTTACTATCATCTTAAAAGATGTGTTGTATACATTCAATACCTGTTCATGAAAAAGCTTTCATCAAACTATGAATACTGGGAACTTCCTCAATGTGATAAAGGACAGTTACAAAAAAAAAGATAGTGTAAGGTTTAAAAATAAGCAAAACTAAGGGTGCCTGGGTGGCTCAGTTGGTTAAGTGTCCAACTTTGGCTCAGGTTATGATCTCCCTGGTTCCTGAGTTTAAGCCCTGAGTTGGGCTCTATGCTGACTACTCAGAGCCTGCAGCCTGCTTCAGATTCTGTTTCCCTCTCTCTCTGCCCCTCCCCTGCTCAGGCTCTGTCTCTGTCTCAAAAATAAACATAAATAACTTTCATGAATCAATAAGAATCCAGCAGAAAAATGGATAAAAGTCATAAATAGAAGTTTTGCAGAAGAGGGCATGCACTTGGCTAGTAATCATTCAGAGATGTTTTTTTATCACTGATATGCACATTAGGATCAAAATAAAAAATCATACTTGAATTAGTTGCCAACAAACTAAGAAGTGTGACAATACTAAGTGTTAAGGAGGATGGGAATCAACAGATCTCTTACATATTGTTGGTGGAGTAAAATTTATGAAAACCACTTTGAAAAATAAGTATTTTGTGAAAGTAGCATTTTTATACTCTAAACCCAGGATTTCCATTCCTGGATATATATTCCACCTAAATAACCCAAATACTTATCTAGAAATGAATGTATAAATACTTATGATATAATCACATAAAATGGAAAATTTTAAATCAGTAAAAATAAATAAACAGCTAAGCCAAACAACATAAGTGAATCTTAATAACATAATGATAAATCAAAACTGCCAAACCCCAGGCAACAACACATTATGGTATTTTTATAAATTATAAAACTAAACAACATATTACTTCCTCATAATTTTAAGGCGATAAAACCAAAATAATCAGAATGAGGAGTGCCTGGGTGGCTCACTTGGTTGAGCGTCAGACTCTTGATTTTGGCTCAGGTCATGATCTCATGATTTGTGAGAGTGAGCCCCGCATCGGGCTTCATGCTGTTAGTGCAGAGCCTGCTTGGGATTCTCTCTCCCTTTCTCTCTCTGCCCTTCCCTGCTCTCTCTCAAAATAAATAAATATTAACAGTTTAGTGGTTAACTTTGGTGAGAGAATCAGGGTACCAGTTAGGGCAGGAGCATACAAGTAGATGTAAGTCATTAGTCATCTTCTATTCTTGGATTAGTTGATGGGACAAAGGCCATTTATTGTAATAAACAAACAAGTAAATTAAAATAACTAAAATAGGCCTAGGTGTGTAACATAATACTATGTCATGATACAAATTTTATGATTAATTCTGTGCACCTGTTATCCAAAAAATGTAATATAATACAATACAAATTTAAAAACTGCTGTCTTGGTGGTTGGGTGGCTCAGTCAGTTAAGTGTCTGGCTCTCTATTTCAGCTCAGGTCATGATCGAGCCCCAAGTCGGGCTCCATGCCTGCTTGAGATTCTCTCTCCTTCTCCCTCTGCCCCTCTCCCCTGCTCATGCTCTTTCTCTCTCGCAAAATAAATAAACTTTAAAAAATTATATATTATATAATATTATATTATATTATATTATATTATATTATATTATA